CGAAAATATGAAGTAATTTCTTCACAAAATACTTATGTTCCCACTCAATTAATATAAGGCTTATTCTCTTGTTAGAAGAGCTGGTGGAAAAATGACTCACTGAAAATTCGAGTAGAATAAAGCATCGTAAACTCCGATCGGATAAGAAGATGTCAACTTCTTATAAGCTAGCAAGGGTATATAACCATAAGCCGAAAGAAAGGCAACAGAGACAACAAGTCCTGACTTTTCAACAGAGGCCATGGGGCGCTATTAGGTAGTAGGCTCTTCGGCGGCAATCGATGCATATCGGTGCTATTGTTAAGCCTACAAAATTGAAAATACTAAATACTAAATACTAAATTTTCCTTTCTGTTTTCTTTAATATAAGGAATTAGATGACATTTGTAAACTTTGTGATATTGACCAAGCTGGTGCTTGGCCTATTATATGTGAGAAATCTTGTTGAGAGGCTTATTTTGATTCTATTATTCTCCAAATAGTGAAAATACAGGGGCGTAAATGTAATTCCACCTATAATGCAGTGGCCTACCGTCTTCTTCCGAACCTATTCCTTGATTCATTTCATGTTTCTTTTGTTTACTTTCATGTGTTCAATTCCACCTATAATGCAATGTTTGTTTCACCACTAACAAAGTGTTTCGACAGTTTGACGTAACAGAGAATCAAGTGAAAAATGAGCATCAACCAACAAGGAGCTGAAATGGAAGAAGCAAGAAGGAACTTACCTGATGAAATTTGAAAAAGAATCAAACTGTTGCCACCGTGAGCTCCACCTCCAGGGCAACTGGAACAAAAAATGACATCAAGTGAAAAACGAAAATCAACCAAAAATGACATAAACCAAAAATGAAATCAAACAAACGGACCCATTTTTGTTTGGTTTGCTCTGATTCAGAGATAAATCATAAATAAAAAAAACAAAACAAAAAAAAATCTGGAAGAAGAAGAGGAACGTCGGTTTACGATGAACGGCGAGTGTGAGGAACGACGAGAAATGGTGAGGAACGGCGAGGAATGGCGAGGAACGGCGAGGAACGGTGAGGAATGGAGAGGAATGGCGAGAAATTTAGGGATGAGGAATTTAGGGTGAAGTGGAGCGGAGAATGAGAAGGAGGATTCGAGGCGAGGCGTGCGTGAGTGAAGTGAGGCAAGAGGCGAGAGGACAGAAGAGAAACCGAGGACGAGGGATTTAGGGCTACATGCTTCAGCTGCAGCACGCCTGACCTGGGCCCTGGGGGGTAGGAATCAAAACGGCCGGGTCGGGGCATTGCGGGTTCAAGAATGCCCAACCCGCACAGTGCAGGTTGGGACCATTTGAATCTGAAAATAAAAAATAAAAAATAAACCTATTTAGTCGGATAGGGTCGGGCGGGTTTTTCGAGTTCAAGCTCAATTCTTACACCACTAGTATGACTACAATTAATAAGGTAGAAACTGCAGTAAAAGAGAGAGAGAGAGAGGTGGGTGGCCTAAAACAAAAAACAAAAAAATAAAGGTTGTGTTTAAAATTGATCCCCTTTTTATTTTTTACATTTTTTGAGAAAGAAAAAATGAAAACGTTTCCAAAACGGCGTTTTGCACAATGAAGACAAAAAAGGAAATGAAAACGATTTTTTGGTTTAGTGTAAAATGAGATAAATGAAAAACGACTTTTAGTTATTTTTTATTTTTTATTTTTGTTTTCTCCTCTCTCGAGCATAGAGAGAGAAAGATAGGCATTAATGGGTTTTTTTACACTTAAAACTACAAAATGCATTTTTAAAAATAATTTCTATCACAGATTGAAAACGTTTTAATTTTTATTTTCATACAAAAAAATCATTTTAAAACGAGTTCCAAACGCATAAAAAAAGATTGCGAGGTAGGGAAGACAACAACTAGGGCCAAACACAACGGATAAAAACGACATATAAGGAAAAAAAGATAACAATAAGTAAAACGACAGTGAAAGAGAAAATAATAATAATAATAACTAGGTCAAACGACAACGGAAGGAAAATAAAAGCGACAAAAACGACAGTGAGAGACAATAATAAAACTAGGCCAACCGACAGCGGATGAAAAACGACAAGTAAAAATGACAACAAAAAATAAAAGCGACAATTAGAGACAGTAATAATAAAACCAAATCTGACAGTAAACACCAAAAGATAAAATTCTTTGAAACATAAAATGATAATAGACCGACAAACGACAATAAAACAAAAACCGACAACTGAATAAAAGAAGGAGGAATTTTCTCACCACAAAGAATACAGCTAGATGTTTAATTAATCTTACGCTATCCACAAACCAAATTTATTTCTTTCGAAGTTCAATGGCTATAACTGAATTATATGAACACAATTATTTAATAAGAGGAAAAAAAACCAAGCTAATTAATCTAGAATTTCATAATCTCAAAATACAGACACATGTGACTAATAATTAACTGATGCATACCACATCACCAACATCTTCTACATATAAATTTATCTATCTTCTTATTTTACCAAAAAATATATATACACACACACTACAATAAAAATGTTTTTAGGGACAACTTTTAGCTATGAGTTTTCGTAATATTATCACTAAATGACAATTTTTTTACTTTTAGTGCCAACAAGTTTTAGCGGTGGATTTTTAGCGACCACAGATAACATAAAAGATCATTTTTCTTTCGAGCTTCAAATGGCTTCTTCAACGACCTCATAATCTCAAGTCTACTTTCGAGCTTTACTGGCTCTCCGGCCTCAAGCCCTCCGCCACCGCCACCGCCACCGCCACCACTGCCACCTGTGGGACCCACGGTGCTTGTATGAAGCGAGCCGCCAAAGACCGCCATTGATGCAAGTGAAACCCGAAGGTGTTTTGCTTTGCTTAAAGAAAAACGACAACCAAATGCGAAGCATTTAAAATGAAGAGGGAAAAGCAATGGTCGATCAATGAAAAAAAAAAAAAGAATGATAAAAGGGAAGGACGACAGGGTAAAAAGGACGAATTGATAAAGAACGGGGACGAAGGGGAGAAAAAAGGACAACGATACATATGGGAAATGGGAAGACGGCGGCTAAGCGAAAACGAGGACGAAGAAATGGAAAAATGAGCGTGCAAACGGCAAATGTGAAAAACGCCAACTAAGGAGAAAAATAAAAATAATAAACAAATTCAAGAATCGACAATAAAGGGAATGCAAACGAGAAGAAAAGTGAAAAAAAAAAAAAAAAAACAGTAAAGATAACAACGATATTAAAAAGGAAAAAGTGAGGAAAAGAAGTTGAAAAGTGACATTTAGAGTCCGTTTGATTGAAAGATTCGTTCTCTAATTTAAATCATGGTTTATAGTTTGTTACAGTATTTTCTCTCACAAAAAACACATGTAAATCAAAAATAGTTTTAATCTCATAGTTCTAATCCATGAACCAAACGAGCTCTAAGACCCCGTTCATTTCACCGATTCGAATTTAGAATTCGAGTTTTGCTACAATAAAAAGCTCTCAGAAACAGTCACATTTAATTTTTTTACTACAGTAAAAAGTTCTCACATAAAGTCACATCTCAACTCAAATTAAAAACTCAAATTAGCGAACTAAACGGATCCGTACTTATGTATATAAGAGCATTTACAATGAAATACTATAATAATGCTAATTGTAAATTTTATATTTGAGTGTAAAAAATACTCTCTAATGTAATATTCTTTGTTGTGTTAAATTTCTCATATGTTATATTTTGTGGTAAATTTTTCACTAAGTATAACATAAAATTTAGCATTTAATTGCTATTAGTTGAAATGTTTACTTTTCATGTAATAATTGCAACGTTTGCATTTTTTAATTATATGTTGGAATAAAAATGAAATAACATACCATATCATACTTTTTATGTTGAATATAAAATTAACATTAGCATTTGTATCGGAGATGGCTAAAATAGAAGCTAATAAACTATTAAGTCCTTGCATGAATAATGCCGTTTACATATATATATATATATATATATATATATATTTCCATTTTATATCTGTATATCTATCATCACTAACTGACTCGCCATAGTTTTGTGGCTTTGCAACTCTTACACAATGACCAATCCTGAAAGACCACTGGTTTTGAACAATTTCACAAGCTTTCCAAGCTATTAGTAAAGTGTTCAATTCTCTAATACAACTAATTGTTATGTATGCAGCCTAATTAATTACCCTAATAATTTATTACTTTGCGCAGAAAATTTTGTGGATTGACCTTCTTTAAAATAATGGATAAACTTGGGGGAGGGGGGGTTTTTAGGTCAATTAGAGAGGTAGAGAAAAACATAAAAAGATAAGAGATGTGTGATTTTCTTGTATAAACTTTTCTTTACTATAATGCAAAACTGCAATGGCTGAAAACAGATGTAATTTCGTATTGAGACGACCCTTTATAAATATTGTGTTGATTTTTACTTTATTTCTTCTGAGATTTTATTGCTCGTTACGTGGAAGTGAGATGTCCAATTCTTAGCTAATCAAAAGAAGCCTCAAAATTTATCATGTCCAATTGTCTAGTTTCTAGCAAGACAAATTGGTTCCATTATCAAGGCTTGTGATTGGACTAACACTCCATATGGTAAGAGAGAAAAACAAAACAAAAAAACAATATATATATATATATATATATATATATAAGAAAGAAAACATGAAAGATTAATTTAAATATAATGAGAGAGAAGAAAATATGTAATAAACTAAATGATTATTTTATCAATTATTTAGTATTAATTTAACTTTAAACTAGGGTAAAAAAGTTAATATGAGTGGATTTAAATTTTTCCCCTAATGTTAGGGATAAAAATTGATGAACCCCACAATAACTTTTATCCACCATATTTTTCTTTCCCTCCTCTCTTCCTTCCTACTAAGCAACCTATTTTATCATTTCCCACCCAATAACCTATTTTATCATTTCTCACCCAATAATCCCTCCGCCCAATAACCTATTTTAGCATAAAAGACATGAAAAACTTGGAGCCAATCATCCTGCCAAAAAGGATATAATTGAAACATTTTTCAAATGCATACAATTGTTACCAACATATTCCTCAAAAGGCATAGGATTGTTGCTCAAACTGGGTTCAGATTATTGCCTTTTTAGCTTCTCTTTTACTGAATCTGAAAAACTTGACAAGGGGTTGACTACAAAATCCATTCCTTAACTTAGTTTAACACACCAATCGCATACATTAATTTAAGCTTTAAAATAATAACAAAGAAAAAATCATCTTGATCCCTCGTCCATCCATGGCCAAAAAACCGCTGCTTGTGCGCAATTCGTCGCAGTCAGTAAGCTATATTCTGCAATTTCCTGGTGAAGCCACAGGGTGCAGCTGCATTGCTCCTAATTTCTGTCGAGAACATTGGCAGATTTTAGAACAAAGGGAAAATGCAAAATAAATGAGGTAAAAGTTCATACTAGTTCATAAGGTCAACTCAATTGCATGCATTACACATTCAAATGCACACAATCAAACTATGTTAAAGAAAGGGGAAAGTAAACACTTTGAAACAGGTAAACAGCAATACCCCTCAGTCTTTTATTATCCAGGGACAAACAGAGGATTCAATATTCAAAACGAGCGCCTTGGTTTCGCTTCGGCATGGGTCACTCGAATGGATCTTCCGTTCAAGTCCTGCAAGTCACAGAGTTCAGTTTCCAAATTTTGAAAAAATGTAACTTCCACAAAGATATTACGAAAGTTATTGGGGACATGGAAAAGCTAAAGGTACAGAAGAAAATGATGGTGTACAATGGGACGATACTTACAACACCATTCAAGGAATTGATAGCGCTGTTGACCTCATCAGCAGTGTTATAGGTTACGAAGCCAAAACCCCTGGACCTACCACTGTCCCTATCATAAACCACCTTGGCTTCCAAAACCTTTCCTTGCTCACTAAACAAGCTCTCAAGAGCTGCATTATCAACACCCCATGAAAGGTTACCCACATAGACCCGGTTGCCAGTTTCATAACCTGCACCACCACCACCACCACCACCACCACCACCACCACCTCTGCGACCTCTTGGAAAGGAATCGTCTTCACGGGAAGGAGGCGGTCCATAGTTCACCCTCAATGGCCTCCCTTCAAGTTCCTGTAAATCGTCATGAATGTTTGCTTAGACAAGTTATCATGGTCCCATCACCGTTGCTGATCAGATTTTAACCAAAATTGAACAATATATAACACAGCACCACACAACTGAAAAATAGAAAAGCCGGTGGTGATGGTCACCATTGGTGGGATAAAACTATAAATTTATCATTTTTCAATCAGGAAAGTAACTGAACCAGACAAAAACAAAACTCAAAACAGTTAGGACAGAATAGGCATCAACATTCAATAGCAAAGATTCTGCCCCGAGAAAGACTTGAATCCAAGTCAAGTCCAAAGTGATATCTCCGACAAAGGAGGACATCAAAAATCGTCTAATAAAACACCAAATAAGCTTACATAACCTAATGATAACTTACATAGCCATTGAACTGCTGAGCGGCTGCTTCAACCTCATCGATAGAAGACATGGTCACAAAACCAAACCCTCTACTTCTTCCAGTCGTCTTGTCATAAATCACCTGCCAAACGCAATAGCTTCAGCAGACGAAAACAAAACTACGCGCTTACTCATTAAAGGTTGAAATAAAATAAACAGACAAACGGCATAAACTGCATTATATCCTAATACCAAAACAACCAATTTAGCATTTTCATCAAAATTTCTAAGAACATGAAGATGTTTTCAAGATACAGTATCCATACATCATTTTCAAAAACTACAACTAAAAATTACATTATATTCTAATACAAAAAACAAACCCAAATATTATTTTTTTGAAATGGAAACCTACACATCATTTTCATCAAAATTTCACAAATTTACTTCAAAAAAAATCTACTATTAAAAACTAGAACTACAAACTACAAACTCATTATATCCTAATGGAAAAAAAAAAAAAAAAAAAAAAAAAAAAAAACAACCCACATATCATTTACATTAAAATTTCCCAACTTCACTTCAAAACAACAAAATTCAACTTTTAAAAACTAGAACTACAAACCACATTATATCCTAATACAAAACAAACCCACAAATCATTTCCATCAAAATTTCACAACTTCACTTCAAAACAACAAAGTTTTCAACTTTCAAAAACAACCCAGATAAAATTTCCATCAAAACTTGGCATTTCGACTAAAAATTCACGCTTTCGAATGCGAAAAGACACTACCTCAACCATCTCCACATTCCCGGTTCTCTCGAAGAGCCCAGCGAGCTGGGCGCTGTCAACGCTGAAGGGAAGATTACCGACAAAGAGTTTGAGGTCGGGAGAGAAACCGGGCTCCTCTCCGCCGTCGCTCAGAACATCCTCGTCCTGGTCGAACTCCGACGAAACGGCGACTTTGGGGACGAAACGGCACGGCGACGACGACGACAAGCCCCGAAACCCCCTTGCCGAAACGCAAACGACATTAACATTGCCGGCGTATAGCTTGAGAGAAGCGAAAGAAGAAGAAGGAGAATAGAGAGAGGACAGAGAAAGCGAAGTGGGTTTGGAGGCGAAGAGAGAGAGAGTTTTAGGAGTGAGAGAGGCTAGGGCTAGAGAGGAAGAGGCTGAGGCAGACATGGTTTCTCTCTCTCTAAAGATAAGGTTTGTGTGTTTAAGGGTTTGGGGTTTTAGAAAGAAGAAGAAGATAGAAAAGAAAAGAAAATATATATAACCCTATTGAGATAATATGATGATATTTTTCTTTGGATATTTATGGAGGAATTTGAATACGGGTTTTCTACTCTTTTTTTATTTATTTTTTATTGCCCACTTGTTCTGACCGTTAATTAGATCACAGCCGTTGACTTTGGGATTTGGAGAAGGAAGGGTGATAAAGGATGCCAGCTGGAGAATTTTGTCTGCCCCTTTGCAAATTGCACTGTGTTTGGACACAATGATACAGGTATGGGCTCGGTAGTCTTTTGCCTCCTTTCCAGCACTTGCAAGAATTTCCTATTTATTGCAAAATTACATTTGCTCGGAAAAAAGAAAATAGAGAAAATACTCAAACCTCCTTCATGTTTAACCAAAATTATGTTAGTTATTAAATATAATTTAGGAGAAATTTTTGAATTAGTCCTTATGGAAATGAGTGACGTCCTTGAATGTGTAAATTTTGTTGTAAATAAAAATATAAAAGCCATGCGTTATTCTTATTTCATAATTTGTTATTCCTAATAACAAAGACGATGGATGCGTTTATAATCCGTTCTAAAATGATTTTATTTTTTATATGAAAATGAAAATAAAAACATTTTAATTCTCAAGTAGAAATTATTTCTGAAAATGTGTTTGGTAATTTATTTAGAGATTATTTTTAGTATAAGAAAAAATTGAAAATGCGTTTAGTTTTACATTTTTGAAAACATGTAATAGTATTTGAAATAATATCTCGTTCAGTTCGCTAATTCGAGTTGAGATGTGATATTGTGTGAGAGCTTTTTACTGTAGCAAAAAAGTTAGATGTGACTGTTTCTGAGAGCTTTTTACTGTAGCAAAACTCGAATCAGCGAAATGAACGGGGCCTAAATAATTAATAAACTCCTCAATCAATACATTAATAATTAATATAATACATACGACACAAATCTAACAAAACGAGACTTGCCTAGTCCCCATATACTCCAGCCACAGATTCCCAAGATGACAAACGACACAAACAAAGACCTTTCGCAGCCTCCTTCCTTTCGTTCTCCTCCTGCCGCCGTCACAACCCCTCTCTGGCGTAGCAGCCGTTTGGATAGTTAAGGGAGCACTGCTCCTTCTAAACTTTGGATTTCTGGGAGAAACTTGTACAAACCAAAAAGGGAGGAATATCGTTCTCTACCCTAGCACACCCGTTTGTCTGCCCTATTACAGTAGTAAAACGACACAATGAAAGCTACTAAACGCAAATGACAAAACAACAAAGCTAAAAGTTATTACATCAGCAAAGCAAAAGGAATTAAACAACATAGCTTGAGGTTTTTTGACATCAGTAAAATAGCAAGGCCCACGACCTGCATCAATTGCCTCCCTCTTGAAAAGAACTCGACCCAGAGTTCTCCAAATGCATAGAAGCATCATCAGGTGGGAAGTAGGTGTAGAGATCAGCCACATTGAAGGTTGAGGAAATCTCCCAATCATCAGGGAGTCCCACCACATAAGCATTATCACTAACTTTGTGGCTGATGTGGAAAGGGCCATAACGCCGCGGCTGAAGCTTGCCAAGATGAGGATCGGTAAGGAGTCGTTCTTTACGGATGTGCACCATAACCAAGTCGCCAACATCAAAGGTCTTCTTGCGGCGGTGTCGGTGTTGGGAATGGTGTCCTAGAAGCATGAGATGTAATAGGATATTTATTATTTATTTAATAAAATAGTTTATTCATTATTTTATGTGCATATATTTATGAATATTTTATGAATATCAATAAAAATTCCATGATTATTTATGTAACATTAAACATTGTATATAAGTGTTATATACGAGAGGATAATGTTTAAGGATAATAATAAAAAAGTAATGTTCATAATGAATTTAATTAAAGTTTAGAATCTTTAATTAAAACATTATTAATACATGTCATTCCCATTTAGAATGGAACGGTGTTATCCGCACTGTTAATATGGTGAGATATTGAATGAGTGTATTTCGCATAATGAGATTATGTGGAACAAGAACACAGACACAATATGAATTTCTAATAATTCCGTTAAGTATAGAAATTCTAATTGAGTTTACCGATGGTCATATATAGGATGATCTTAATCCTGAGTTCTTAACAGACTCCTATTTATGGATTTGTGTCTTTTGATTTACTCGGTACGGATTCTGAGATCCTGAATCCTATTCCTTGTATTTTGGAGACATGATGAAGTAGGTAGCCGGGAATGCTATTACACGAGATGGAATCCATTCCTTCTTAAGAAAGAAGTAGATAAATAATTCTCTTGAGGGTTGATTCAGTACTTGGACCAGTAGGAGCTCTGATTCATGAATGTGTTTTATGAATCACTGTCCATTAGAAAATCAATAGTACTCAAGGATAAAGAAGTAATTAGAGAGGTTAACGGATTTTACCTTGCTCTAATTATGAATTATTTATGGAGGATGTTGGGAATGGTGTCCTAGAAGCATGAGATGTAATA